TTGAGGACAGAAACCGTATGTCATTTTTCAATTATTTCCTGGCACGTATGTAATTCCCATTCTTCTCACTTTTGAAAGCCTGCTTCCCTTTCAGGAGCCCTATCCTCCTGTATAGTTACTCCTACTCTTCGTAAGCCCCACCCCTGCATGATCCCATTATAGAGGACTTTCTTCTCACCTAGAGGTCATGGTTAGAGAGGAAGACGATCAACTCTGTGTGAAGATGTTAGCCGATGACAGCTTAAAGCATTTCCTCTCTCTGGCAAATGTGCAAGGGGACTCATTTAACACCAAATATAACCTTTAAGAACCAAAGCAATAAGTTGCTGATAAAATTCCAGAGACCTGGGGAAGACACAGTGAGGAAGGGAGATTTTTTGAGCAGGGGTTCTATTGATCATCCCTCACACCTAACTATTCAGCCTGTTACTGATTCCCAATATTTCTAACACTGAGCCTCCCTAAGGAGTTGTGAGCATATTCCTTCGCCTTCATCTTGAATCGGGTTTTGCATTGGCTGGGGTGAACAGCCAGCATGAGGTGTTTGAACGTCGGTACTTCTCAATCTCCCCTGAAACACTGTACATCTCTTGGACATTTCACTGCTAATAAGATGATTCCTCACTGGAGGCAGGGGTTGTGAGCCAACTCTACCAGTTTCCTTGGCATCTTGCAAGTCAGTAGTACTATATGAAGGCAAGGAAATATATAAATCGATAAAGACGTAGATTTCATATTCTTGCAATTCCTAATCCTGATACTGATGCTGAACAGCACAAAGTAGTAGCAAAGGCTATGAAGTCAAGACTGGGGCTCTAAACAACTTTCTTGTTAATAAACTAGAATTGAGAAATCTTTTAGTGTCTCTCAATCCTCACGTGAAACTATCAGATGGGATGATGAATAGAGGGCTTCTGTAGCTAACATACAAGAAAGTAGTGGAGAGCAAATGGGATACTGAGTGTACAAATGTTAGGAAAGTAGTAAATGCTATACAAAGTTATGAATTTTAATCTTATCCTTAGCAAAACATATGATGGAATAGAGAACTCTGAAAAGCACTCAAAATAGTTTTCAATTCCCCTTTGTAGCAGAGACTGATAATTTTATCAGTATTAATTTTCACATTACCTCTTTAATAATAGAATCCCCCCTGTTTGTCAAGGCATATGGCAACTGATAATGAAGACATTTCCTGGCCTCCTTTGTGTTTACTTGTAGCTAATGGCTAGGTTCTAGCCCATGAGATGTGAGTGGAAGTGATATTTGCAACTTCCTTCCATGTCCTCTCGGCTGTCTGGAATACAAACAAGATGGCAGGAGCTGCAGCAGTCACCTTGCACCATGAGATAGAAGGCAAGGGTTAGTATGAAAGAGCAACAAAGAGGGGGCCTGGGCTTCTGTAACTCACCAGAGCTACCCAACCAGTTTGTCTTTTAAATGAGAGGACAACAGCTCTGATCTCATTGAAGTCATTATTTTTTCAGTTTCTCTGTTAAACTGGCCAAATGGGAATCCTATCCTATGGACTTTTTTTTTTAAATGATCTATGCTCATCTCCTTGGCAGGTCTACCTCTGGTAGACTTTCTTCCCTGTATAAATACTACCTCTACTCAGACTTGAACAAGTCCTCATATTTCAAACCCTTGATTAAACGATGACAAAGTTACCTCCTTTAGATGATAAGAAACACAGTCTTATAACTCTTTAATAGCACACATGGTATCCTTAGCTGTTGCCCAACACTGACTGCTAATGTTATTAGTTATTAGAAGGAGTATCCAAATAATTCTCAGGGCAGGTTTTGTCTGGTTACCAAGAGCAGGCTGCCAAAAATGAAAAAAAAGACAGAAAAGACAGTATATACCTTAGTCCTTGATGATAATTTAAACACACACACATAAACAGGCACACAAGGGACACCCATCCCAATCCGGGGCTCTCCTTGCCAAGAGAAGGGAAGGAACATCTACCTGGGTGTTGTAGGAGTCAACAGAATGTGGAAGCCCCTGGGGGATTTTCTCCCCCTCCGCTTGGGCTTTTAACACCAATGTACCTGGTATTGATTTGGTTTTGGATCTTAAAGCTTCTGACTCCCTGCGGATCCCAAGATCCAGATGTCTTCCACTGGCATTCCTTCTCTGCGCTTCTCTCAGCATGTAGGTATGCAGTCAATTTTTGGAGAACAAACTGTGTCCCTACCTCTTCATTTCTATCAACATAGGACCCCAGGGATATGACAAGCGTGCTGCTTTCGAATGAAATGATATGAGGGAGGAAGCCTGTGTCGGTCTTTTTAATTTGCTCAGCACTGGCCTCGGGCCAACACAAAGAGATGGCTTCTCCTCTGAACATCCTGATATCTGGCCTCAAGTGGAGCACCACACCTCGCGCCTTCAGCGGCAAAGAGCCTTTTGATATAAATCCCGAGATGCCTAAGGAGCAGTGTGAAGTTAGCAGAGGCTGCCTCCAAGTCTGAGCTATGCATGAATTCCCTGCCAAAAATTTAAAGGGAGTTTAAAAGAAACAATCCGAATGCTCTCTAACTTGTTTTGATTTTCCACATGACAAAACACTGGATTGTTAGTGTGTGTGTGTGTGTGCGTGTGTGTGTGTCACAGCAGCAAACAGAAAGATAATTTGCAGCTCTGCCATTCTAGGCAGAACATTAGATCCTAACATCGAAATGTGAAGACAGAGAGAGAGAGCTACTCATTAACTGTAGCTGCAATCTTCTTCACTCTCTACCTCAGGAACAAATCATGGGGAAGAGAAATATTACGATTTTGTGAGTCTAATTTCTACCAACTAACAAGCAATATTTACTTGGTCTCTTGAACTTATACATGTCTCAAAAAGTATCATGGCCTAAAAAGTCATCAATCTCTCAGCTTGTTGGCAGGTCAGGGATGTGGAGAGGTCGGGCTCACCCAAGGTGGCATGGCTCTGGGTCACGGCCGGCTCGGGGCTGGCACAGTTATGCCACACGCGTGGGTTAGAGACAAATCCTTCTGGGCCTTCAATAGCTGGCTTCTTGCATGATTGGCAGGAATCTTTTATCCCCCTGGAAAACATGATGGAGTAAAAAGCGCTTGCACTTTGCCGTCCACCAGATCTAGCATACAGCCCATGAGGAAGCCAGTTATTGTCTGTGGGTTTCACTTTTCCTATCTATGTAATTGGGCCTAATAGTATCTACATTGTTGTGAATAGATTTAAAGTATGAAAAGGGCCTCCCACTGTAATGGACACAAGGGAGTCCCCTAACAATACTTCCCTCACGTGGCAGATGAAGCCAAGGGTAGTGAGAGAAGAATCAAAGCTGCTTCTCCAAATCTCTCTTTGATGGAGACACTGGGCTCCCCTCTGTGTACACAGGCATGCCATGAATGCCATGGGTTGATCGACTCTCAACCCCAGAGAGAGTATTCTGGAGGCTGAGATGTGGCTTACGTAAAGCTGGCTTAAACATCAAACATGTTAGATATCAATGAAATAGGCTTTTCAATCTGATTTAGGGGTTTCACTCATTTGCCCTGAGCTCCTTGATAGGATTGATCAGATCAGTGTTGTGAAACTCTTGACCCACTCTGATCCTGCTCCTGAATGCCAGGCAAGAGCTTTCTATTCCTTTTTCCACACTTCTCCCTTTATTATTCGACAAACGTTGTGTTACTGTAGTTGTGATCAGGAAGAATTGCAAACAAGAAGCAATTGGCAATACAGCCCATTTTCACATCCTGCCTCAGACACTCCAGACCAAGCTGCCAGGTATGGCTACAGTCTAACAACTGGAGAAGATCATATGGGGGGAAGAAATTTACCAGGCTGGAGACAGTCAAGATGTTGGGAGGTAGAGTCTGTCTAAACTCCTGGGCCCATTGAGTTCCATGTCTCTGGGCATAAATCCGTTGTCATTTATTTAGTGACCCTGAAGATCTTTTGCATCTGGGCTAGCTAAGCTCCTAATCTTTGGGCCAGATTCTTTTTAAACATCTTTGCCTCTCAGCTAGCAGAATTTCAAACTTGGCAGTAGCATATCAAAGAATCTGACTGCTCCAAAGTGGTAAAACGGAAATACTTCTGAAAAAAAAAAAAAACTCTCAAAGTTCTGTAGCCTGCTTGGAAATGTTAGACATAGAGTTTCCTTCCCGCTTCCCCCAACCTTAATTTATTAGTCAATTCTTTCCGAATGAAAATAAAATCGGTAGTGTAACCTCTTTAGGCATTGTTAATAAGCACATTTTCTCTTAAATGCCCCTACCAATGTTCATTTCTTGGGGGCCTGTCCTGAGACATGACTGTCCTGATTCCACTGGCCATTCCCTAAAGGACAGGAGGGGCAGCATGTCTCCGAGCTGAGATGCAGGGACTTTGCGGGGTGTGAGCTTCTAGTGATGGTCACTAGTAGGGTGATTTCGTTTAAAAACAGCTGCAACAACAAAACAGCACTACTTATGATTTAAACCACATTCACACAGGGTTCAAGATGAGAGCCGTTGGCTAAGTGAGGGTTGGCTAAAACCTCATCTAAGGGCGGAAAGGGACTTCTTTCTTTCTCTTTCTCTCTAGACAGACCGGTATTTCCATTACAGAGGCCGCGTGAAACAGAGCAGTTTCAGCAGAACATCCAAGCCATAATTTGGCTTTTCATGTGTGCCTCTGTGGGTTCCCATGGTGCTGCAAAGGATATTTCCAAGACCTGTTTCTTTCTGGTGCTTCTCTCCTTGACCTTCTAAGGACATCTAAGTTGGATGCCTTCCTACCCTACTTAATATCATGGATTGGAAAATGTCAGGGGAGAAAAAGAAGAAGAAGACAGATCATCTCCGGCTGGGGAAGGATGAAGACAAAGAAGAAGCAGGTGTCCAAATCAAGCCACATACAGCCAGGTGGCCTCCAAACAAAATGGCCCTTCCTTCTCCAAGGTAATCGATGCCACGGAAGGTCAGCGCGCCTGCTCATCCCCTCCCCTCCTGGGGGAGGAGAGCGCAGCGGGTCACCATCTCACCACCTGGCTGTTGTAGTCCTCGGTGACCGCGCCCTCTGCGTTCCCATCCTCTTTGGGCCACTGGTGGCCCCTGTGCCCCCGCTGCAGCCTGCGCCCCTCCCGCCTCTTTTGCCGGTCCCTCTGGTGCTCTAACTGCTTGGTGTGGTGGTAGCGCTGCTGGAAGAGATCCTTCGCGTACTCGTACAGCTGCATGTCCAGGAAGTTGAGCTCCTCGATGCGCTGGCGGGCGCCCTCGTTGATGTCCACGTTGGAAGCCCGCGTGATGTTGAACTGCGTGAAGGGGGAGATAAACTTGAGGTTGAATGTCCTCTCAAAGAGGAACTGAGTCTTCCTCTGGAATTCCGTGAGGCCAAAGAAGGCCATGTTCTTCAGGTTGTTTTTCGCGCTCTGCAACAGGATGGTGTTTCTCTCACTCTCGTTCATGAAAGTCAAGTTGTAGCAGCCCACCAGGCTCAGGTCGGCCAGCATGCGCACCTGGCGGTTGTTGGCCAGGTTGTAGGTGCAGTCCATGAACTCCCGCAAGCTGACCCCAGACCAGTCGTCGCCGGGGTAGCAGGTAGGCAGCTCGTCGGGGGTGGGGCTTCTCCCATCACACATGTGGAGGGAGGTTTTCCAAGTGGCTCCTCTCTGGACGTGTTTCCACTCGCTCAGGTAACGCGACACTGGATCCCGTAACATGGTGATGTAATAGAAATTCCTGGAAGAAATCAGAGGGAAGAGCTTCCGTCAGTCGTTGACAACCACAGCTCTGGGATTCTGAACCTCCCTTGTGTTTATATCAGCACTGAGTCAACTGGCTCTTCTGCCAAATGTTCATGCGAGAGTGGCTGCCGGGATTTGCACCTATCAGGTCAATGTTCCCGTGTGCGCCTATTTCCATAAACACGCACGGACTGGTTTTCAATACCATTTGTTGGGTGTTTCCTCCCTGCTCGGTGTGGGGAGGGATGCGATGGAGGGGAATAGGTCATTCATTCATTAAGTGATTTCTTCACTGATAAATTACTGCCGAAAGCAACAATATCTTATATTAAGAAAACACACCAAGGGTTTTTGAAGTTATTCCGCAACCAAAGTCTTATTTGATCCTCACAACAAACCTTTGTAGCAGATGTAAGACTATTTGATAGGGAAAAGTGCAAGGAGGCAAAGTGATTTGTCCAAGGTTGTGGGACTAAAATGGGCAAAGCCGGGAGCCAAGGCTCCTTAGTCTTGCCTGTTTACACTGCTATTCTGGATTGCAAGGTAGGTGGGGTTGGGGGACGATATGTTGTATGCGGAGCCTGATATTTATTGAACACCTACTGCGTACTCAGAGCTATGACAGGTGATTTATGATACTAGCGCAGATAATCTTCAGCACAATTTCATAAAAGTTTCATTATCATAACTTTTTTTCCTTAAAGTTGAGACCATAAAGACCAAGCAAGGTGAAAATACAGACCAAGATCCTAGAACGAATTAATACTTGAACTGCAATGGAGTCTAGGCCTATTGATTTTAACACTTCTGTGCTTTTCTGTGTATTATATTGATATTTTAAAAACAAAAATATAATTAATACTTATTGAATGCCTATTTTTAAATATTTTTAAATGTTATTTTTGAGACAGAGAGAGAGAGACAGAGCACGAGCACAGGAGGAGCAAAGAGAGAGGGAGACACAGAATCTGAAGCAAGATCCAGGCTATGAGCTGTCAGCACAGAACCCAATGTGGGGCTTGAACCCACAAACCGTGAGATCATGACCTGAGCCGCAGTTGGATGCTCAACTGACTGAGCCACCCAGGACCCTTGAATGCTTATTAGTTGCAGGTACTGTGGTTATTATAAGCACAAGTCTTCTCTACTGGCATCAAATGGAACATTAGAAGAAACATATTTTTAAACGGTGAGCTTCAGAGTGATCCAGTAAAGATCAGGGTGCTTCTGGCTTAAAGGGGCAAGAGAAGTGTAGAGAAGTAAGAAGAGAATTAGAAAAGAAGACAGGTGAAGACACAACACAAAGCATTACAGGAAAGTAAATATTGATTAAAATGAGGAAAACCCTTCTCATGGTTTGAGCAGCCTCCCAGGAGAATGGGCCTCACTCATTCAGACCAGGAGTGACACTCAGATCTGCCCCTGAGCAGACGGATGGTCCTGGAGAGCTCGTAAAGGAAAACCGGGCTTCCCTGGGAAAAGCTAACCTGGATTTTTTTTTTTTTTAATTTTTATACCCAGCATACATTTTTAAAATTTTAATATCCAGTAAAAGCAATGACAGACATAAGGGCTTTGGGGGTGCAGTGCTTTTGGTGTTGCTTTTAAAAAGCAGTCAATGCGGTGACCGGGTGGCTCAGTCGGTTAAGCATCAGGCTTCAGCTCAGGTCATGATCTCGTGGTTCATGAGTTCGAGCCCCGTGTCGGGCTGTGCGCTGACAGCTCAGAGCCTGAAGCTTGCTACAGATTCTGTGTCTCCCTCTCTCTCTGCCCTTCCCCTGCTCTCTCTCTCACTCTCAAAAATAAATAAATATTAAAATAATTAAATAAAAAACAAATAGGAATAGATGAACTATAATATTTAAAACCTTTTTTTACTATATTCAGTTACTTTGAATGTCTAGCCAGACAGTTTTGAAATGTGCTAATGAAACTACACTATCTTAAGGAATGCAAGCTTCTCCTTAAATCAGAAAGAGAAATGTACGCACACAACCACAGAGGGGCCAGCCTGAGGCCTTGGTGTTGCCAATCACTATTTTACGTTACTCTGTTGTCTTTCGCTGTGACAGAATGACAATTCCATCAGTGGGAGAAAATTTCCTGAAAGGTCAGTAGGTAGCGCAGAAAACAACTTGATACAGCTTCCGGGCTCCACACGGAAATGTTGATGGCAAAGTTTTGTTCAGAGTGGGTATTACTTTGGTTGAATGTTGTAGGACATGTCATTATCTAATCCTGCTTTGGTTCTATCTCGGGACTTGTTATGTTTCCATTTTAGAAGCAAAGACTGATTTTCATTTCACGAGACAATTGCATAATAAATATAGAAACCCAATAATGATGATAGTGACATAACTCATTAAGGATGCCAAACATATCAAGATGGAAGAATCTAAATCGGACAGATCTTTGTCGTGGGTCAAAGAAGACCACAAATGGAAAATTTATAATTTTCCTGTTAATTAGGCAAAACAGGAAACACACACACAAAAAAAGATTTAAGGAAAAAGCATGATGGGCATCAGTTGATAATTCTTAACCTTATTCATGTGTCTCAGAGTCAGAAACAATACAGATTTTTAAAATTATCATGGGAGCTGGAGTATTTTATGACCAAGAATTATAATGGTTTGTGACATAAAGGTTTAATTGGAACCTGCTCCTGAAATTTTAGTGGCTTTTGTCTCACTTGGGAAAACTAGCCATAGAATTCCTGGGGCCTTCATTCCACTGGAAATTTACAAGGTCTCAAAGCTGACTGAAACTGACTTGGCTTTTGGTTTCAAATTTAACTGTATTCATTTTAACACCGCAGGTAACAATGACTAGCCAGGTTGTATGATGAGGTTTACATGAATAAAATAGGTCCCAAATGTCTGCAAGTTCCGCCAGCCAAATAGGTAACAGATCAATCTGTAAACAAAACTCTGACATCGAGATGCAAAAATGCACTACTAGGACATTTCCATTGACGGAGTACATAGCTGTCCCATCTCATGGTTCCAGAAAGGGGTGGTCCCCTAGCATTTCAGTATTGCTTTCGTCAGACATATTCTCATGTATGTGCCGTTGATTTGTTTAAATCCTGCCAAAGGAGTCCAGGTAGAAATTTAGAAAAATATTGAAAATAAAACAAGGGGTTGAAGAGCACTCAATCACTGGTAAAGACAAAACACGTAAAATGATCCATCAAAGCACTTTTTTTTAATCTCTCCTTTTTTTTTTTTTTTCATTTGCTTCTCTCCTTTCAGACAGAAAGCTACAAAGATCACTGTTGAAATGATATCTATGTCCAGGCCACACACCCATGGTCACTGTGTACAAGCTTTGCTCTGGTTTTATGAATCTCCTGCTCACTCCAAAACAACACGAACTCACTTTCTTCTGTTCTCCAGACCCCCAATTCGGTTTCTAGGGAGAAGTCTTAGAGGGTGCCGTGACTACTGAAATTCACAAGTTTCTTTTGTAGGCCTTACTTGTTCAACAGCACAATGGAAGGTAGAGCAGAGAACAGAGAAAGACCAGCGGCTCCTTAGCAAAGCTTGTTACGGCCACAGTGTGGAGGTCTTCATCCACTCTATCCTTCCTAACACACTCTCCTGAGCCTAGACAGAATGTCGTGTGTTTATACATCATCCTTGCAGGTGATCTCCGTTCCCCTCAGATTTTGGAAACACAAATAAGTAAACTACTATTTTCCTCCCTCATCTATCGTTCATTCATTTGTTAATTCTGCCAATCTGCCAATGTTAATCCAGCCATTTGTGTTTGCTAAGCATGGCATAGAGGGAGGGGAGGATGGGGAGGAGGCATCAGGACTCAGAGATTACCAACAGGTCACCCTCAAGGGGATGTCCAGCACCCGGTGATTTTGTTGCAGTGAAAGAATTGCTAACTACCATGGCAAGGGAATGTTCTACCAATCTCCTGGCACCAGAGCAATCTCTGAGACAGATAACTTTATTTGTCAGTGACAGTGTTCTGTCAGCAGGTCATCCATTTGCTGCCTACTGCATCAAGAGTTTGGGTGAATTCATTTGAGAATGTCTGTAAAGCAATTGCAGCCCTTTAGAATTGTCATTCTTGGGCCCCAAGGTAACGATGGCAAATAAAGGGTGTGCTCAGGAAGATTAGGGAACAAGTCACCTTGGTTAGTTCAAGGATGATTTTAACTGATAATGATCGTAGGGGTCATCATGGCTGACTAAAGGTCAGAGCCACAGAACACACACTTTTCCATGGCTGCTTTAGAACCACTTGTGTGTCCTGCTTTGCTGTGAGGTAATCACATCAAACAATTCTAAACTCAGCACAGAGGCCTGACTGCCTTCCGTCAGTCATTGCCTTGTCTTTCGCTCCTTTGTGAACTGCTGCCTGGTCTTTTCTGGCCCAACTCAAGCCGTTTCTGGCCCAACTTCACCTTGCCTGAGTTTTCCAGTCTCTGGGGTTCACTGCACTACTCACTGCACTTTTAGCCTGCATATGAACATCTTGGTCACCTCTACCCTTTAATCTCCTTTTGGACAACTGGACTCAGGCCTCATGTCCCACAACCCCTCACACAAAGTCCTGCTCACAGCACATGTTCAATATGTGATGCTACGTAACAGAAATGATCGTATGAGATTAAATGTATTTTTTATTTTATTATTATTATCTTTTAATGTTTTACTTATTTCTGAGAGAGAGAGAGAGAGAGAGAGAGACAGAGACAGAGACAGTGTGAGCAGGGGAGGGTCAGGGAGAGAGGGAGATACAGAATCTGAAGCAGGCTCCAGGCTCTGAGCTAGCTGTCAGCACAGAGCCCGACGTGGGGCTTGAACCCACGAACCATGAGATCATGACCTGAGCCGAAGTCAGACGCTCTTAACCGACAGAGCCACCCAGGCGCCCCTAAATGTATTTTAATAACTAAGGTTAATATTGTTTTTGATAAATATGCCACTATCTTCTTTCTGAAAACAAATCCAATATTATTTTTGATTGTTTAAA